CCTATTCCAAATTTTAAGGCCCCTACATAAGGGGTTCAGGGATTTAGGGCTTCGAGCCTGAATAGTGGTTAATATTTTCGTGATATGTTATATAATATCCCAGGACTCTGTTCTGACTATTCAGTTCCCTATGTTAACATCCTATAGGAATTTTATAAAGCCCCTGAGAACCCTACAAACTTGTATATAGAGCCTTTCAACGAAAACACTGAAGACACCTAAAGCCCTCAACCCTAAACCCTAAACCCCAAACCCTACACCCTAAACCCCAAACCCTACAACCCCTGCTGCTCAGATCTTGGCAGACGAAGACGAGCCAGGCGAGGCCCCATGGTCAATCGCACCGCTCAAGCTGATGTCTGCCGTGGCTGCTACTTGGAGAAGGGTTTAGGGTTTAGGGGTCTAGGGTTTAGGGTTTAGGGATTTAGGGTTCAGAGTTCAGGGTTTAGGGATTTAGGGTTCAGAGTTCAGGGTTTGGGGTTTGGAATGTAGGATCAGGCGGGTTGAGGGTGACGGCTTTACAGGCTTTGGAGGGTTCTATGCGTTGTCATGCATGGAGTCTACATGGGGTCTTCAGAGTCTATACCCCTAAACCCTAAACTTAGACCCTAAATCGCAGGTTCCACAAGGCTTGCTTACAAGGCGTTACAGTCGCCGCTACTTTTGCTTTTTGTTCTCTTGCCCACCGGGTTTGGGGTTTGGAGGTTTAGCGCTTTAGAGCTTAGGGCAAAGAGTTAAAACTACGGTTGATGATATAATCCTGCATTTCCCAAGGAATAGACCAAAATTCCCATAGTTTAGGGTCCTTAAGGTCATGCAGGATTTATATCATCAGCAGTACTTGCGGGGGGGGGGGGGGTCTGAAACTACGGTATCCTGTTTTGGGGTTGGGGCCTTGTAGGATGTGGCAATTTGAGTGCGGGTATTTACTACAGTTGATGATATAAACCTGCATTACCTTAAGGACCCTAAACTATGGGAAGTATGGTATATCTTAGTATGGGTAATGCAGGATTTATATCATCCACCGTAGGAGCCCCGAAACATACTTGAAACATGCCCCGAGACAAACATGTAATCGGGGACGCTCCATTCTGCGATCACACTCATCTCAACTGTGCGTAGGGCTTATGTTTGGGTCCAACATTTTCTGCGATTCCCATTTGACACGAGGATTGCCGTACAGGGAACGTACTCCCAACGGTCCCTACCGACTCGTTATGTCGTCGGGGTCTTTTGTATTGTGTAGTCTAAGGTTAAACCCATGGGCCTCTAGTATGGGCCCTTAACCCTGGGACCCTTATATACGTACTATATACCCTAAATGTACCCTTAAGGGACCCTAGAAAGGCCTGAGGGTCCATATCAGGGGCCCATATTTCTTACCTTGGATGTAGAGCGTTCACGGTATCGAGTTTTAGGTTCAGGTGCCTCTGCTTTCAAACTCTCTGAGACCCTGAGCAGAGCACCCCAAATTCAGAATTTGGTTTGGGAGTCTATGGGTAGTTCTCTAAAGTAGGACTTTAGGGTATGAGGATGCCGTGCTATCTTGGGCATCTAGACCTAAGCATGGACGCCAATTTCGAGAACTACCCATATAAGACTATATGTGCAATAAGGAGCTTTAAGGAGTTACATGGGAAATCATTCAGGCTTCTGTTTACGTGCAACCCTGAAACCAAGGACATCCCCATCCTTGGCCATCTCTTGAAGTATTTCTTCGAAGACTTGAAGACCACGTTCTCATGGCGCAAGGACATGCCCTATGCCCTGACCATCCCAAAGAAAAAACCCAAAGACATCTACAGACAAAAGCCTCCACGTCAAAGTTAGCAGAAGGGGACCAAAACCCCAATCCCTAATCCCTAAACCCTATATTCCCTAAACCCCAATCCCTAAGCCCAAAACCCCAAAACCCCAAAACCCTAATCCCTAAACCCTAAACCCTACTCCCTAAACCCCAAAATCCTCAACTAGAATCCCTAAACCCTATTTATAATCCCTAAACCCCAAACCCTAATCCCTTAACCCTAATCCCTAATCCCCAAAACGCGAAACCCTAAACTGTGACGAAGCTCGCAGCCTGAACTACAGCACAGGGTTTAGGGTTTAGGGTTTAGGGTTTAGGGCATTTTAGAAAAGCTTCTATAAGGGTACTATAAGGGTTCTATAAGGGTACCACAAGGGCATTATAGGGTTTAGAGTTTGGGGTTCATGGTTTCGGGTCGGTTTGGAGCTTTGAATGGGAGGTGGCAACTACCCTGATGTAGGGGCCTTAATAATTAGAATAGGGTGTTAAAGATTTTTTGTTATAATTGTAGTAGAATATATCTCTAAACCCTATTCTAATTATTAACGCCCCTATATTAGCCAACACTGAACCTCAAACCTCATAGCGCCTAAACCCTAAACTCGAATCGTTAGTACCAATATTCCAGCAAAGCCCCTGTATAGTTGAAGTACTGTTGATGGTGTAAATCCTGCATGACCTTAAGGACCTTAAGCTATGGGAATTATGGTATATTCCTTATTATGGGTAATGCAGGAATCATATCATCAACCGTATGATATGCCCCTAAACCCTAAACCCTAAACCCTAAAACCTAAACCCTAAACCCTAATCTCTAAACCCTAAAGCCTGCGTCTGATGATTGAGGCCCCGAAGCTACAACCTTCCGTCACCCTTCCGGAACCCTGGGTTCGAGGTTCCTGGGTTCGGGGTTTAGGGTTGAATATAGGGGACTTAATTAGTAGAATAGGGTTCTGTGGATTTTTATACTATGTTTATAAGATGGAACCCCCAAAGTATTATAGGTAATTTGTTAAGGCCTCTGTATTAGGGATCCCCGTTTACAAACAAACCTATAAGTATAGTTGTCTAAATTAAGGTCCCTTTTAGGGTCCCTTTTCATGAGGGTGCCGTACTATATTGGGGATGTAAAACGGGACCTTAATTTAGAGAACTACCCATTTACACACAACCCTATGAACACCCTGTAAACGCACTTGCTTCTATGACTCTCACCAGGATGTTGGCATGCCGCCGGGCCACACCAAGGCCATTCACCCTAAACCCTAAAATCCCTAAACCTTACACCTCAAACCTTAAATCCTAAACCCTAAACTTTAGGGTGAGGTTTTTTTAGTTTTAGGGTTTGGGATTTTGGTGTTTACTATAAACCTTCGAGGGCCCTGAAACCCGAAAGTTTCGACCCTAGACGGCATAAACCCAAGCCCCAAGCCCTAAACCCTAAACCCGAAGCCCTAAACCCTAAACCCCCCCCAAGCCCTGAACCCCAAGCCCCCTAAACCCTAAACCCTCTAAACCCTAAACCCTCTGAACCCTAAACCCTAAACCCTAAACCCTAAACCCTCTAAACCCTAAACCCTGAACTGTAAACCCTCCAAACCCTAAACACCCTTATGGTACCCTTATAGAACCCTTAGTACCCTTATAGGGACCCTTATAGAACCCTTATGACCCTATGTCCCAAGCCCCAAGCAGGCGATCCATCCTATCGGCTCGGTGGCCCTGGCCTGGAGCCTACAACCCTCAGCAGCTGATTTCAGGGTTCCTAGGGTTTCTAGGGGTATAGGGGTTTGGGGTTTGGGGTTTATAGGGGTTCAGGGTTTATAGAGGTTTGGGGTTCAGGGTTTAGGGTTTGGGGTTTGGGGTTTGGGGTTTAGGGTTTAGGGTTTAGGGTTTAGGGTTTAGGGTTTAGGGGTTTATAGGGTTCAGGGTTTATAGGGGTTTGGGGTTTAGGGTTCAGGGTTTAGGGTTTAGGGTTTATAGGGGTTTGGGGTTCAGGGGTTTAGGAGTTTAGGGCTTGGGGAGTGAGGGTTCAGGTTTCAGGGTCTTGAAGATGAGGCTCATGCAGAGCTTAGCAAGTGTTGTTTTGAGTGTTTAGGGTTTAGGGTTTGGGGTTTGGGGTTTAGGGTTTAGGGTTTAGGGTTCTGTCGGCGGTTTGTGCCGATTTCTTATGGCCCGCTAATGCAGGTTTGATGAGGGGTTGTTGTCGAGGTGCGTTAAGGGTTATAAGGGCATGTTTCACAGTATTTTGTTGAGCTTAGGGCTGGATTCCAAGTAATAGGTTTTGAGGGGTGTTGAGTTTGGGGTTTAAAGTTATAGGTGCTTGTGGTCGGGGCTTTAGGCGCGCTTTGGCGTTGAGTGTATTGAGTTTAGGCGCTTGGCATTTAAGGGTTCACAGCAGCAGAGGGTTTTGGAGGCTTAGGGTAGGAGGTTTCAGGGCTCAGGGTCAGGGTGTTGAGTTCTGCAGCTTGGGTCGCTTGGGTTTAAGAAGAGTGTTTGTTTTCTGTGGCTTGGTGAAAACCAAGCCTGCTAAACCCTAAACCCTAAACCCCTAGAGTTCCCTAAACCCTAAACCCTAGCCCGTTTAGGGTTTAGGGTTCCTGACCACTCCGACCCTGCAGCCCGAAACCCAGGTAAAGATCCAAGCCCATGAAACTCTGTAGTCGAGAGGTCGTAAGAACTGTCCAACATAATCTCTATAGGCAAGTATAGTGAGACTACAATATACGCCAGAAAAGATTCGGATTAGCTTGGCCTCTATACTACAATACTACCCTTAACCCTAAACCCTAAACCCTATACCCTAAACCCTAAACCCTATACCCTATACATCAGTCTTTGCACGCTCCCTTTGAAAACCACACGATCGTTTCAGAAAGTTGGGACCCGAAGGGCGAGGCCAAGTAGTAGGACCTTGATAAGATGGACCCCTCTACAGCGGAATCCCCATTGACAACAACTTTATACATGAGACCCCTGACTTCAAGAAACCTCCATGTCAGCTGACCCTAAACCCTATAGTAGCCTTATAGAACCCTTCTGGACCCTTTTCAAGTCTCCCTTAAAAATCCCGGAACCCTAAACCCTAAACCCTGAACCCTAAACCCTAAACCCGGACCCTTAAGCCCTAAACCCTAAATTCAAACCCGACCTTGAAGGTGAAGCTGCTTTGGGATGAGGCGGCTGTGAAGGAGGCTGGGTACACAGGCGTCTTCAAGACCAACCAGGAGCAAACTACTTAAAGATCAGGGTTTAGGATTTAAGGTGCAGGTTTAGGATTCCGGGGTTTGGGATTAGAGTGAGGGTTTGGGGTTTAGTGTGCTTAAAAAATCATGGGACTTAGTACCTTGGGTTACAAATAAGGTAAGTATACTTACAGTTATTTCTAACTCTAGAGGTACTTATAACTGCACTTACTAAGTACCATGAGCCTCCGACTCGTCAGTCGAACCCCCGGACTCTTTCGGGCGTTTTAGGGGGGGGGTTACAGGGCTTAGGGTTTGGGGTTTAGGGTGAACCCCAAACCCGAAACCCAGGCCAGGCGCCCATTGCGTTTTTGAAAAAATCAGTGTCCCAAGCCCCACCCTAAACCATGAACCCAAAACCCTAGGGTTTAGTTAGTACCCTTATAGAACCTATGTACAACTCGTAGTAAACTTTAGACTCTTAAGTCCCCCCAACCTACAGCAGGTTTGACGGGGTTACCATAGACCCCTAAAGCCTGAACTAATCGGGGATTTTAGGGTGTAGGGCTTCAGGGTTTAGGGTTTGAGGGTTTGACCCTAAACCCTAAACCCTAAACCCCAAAACCTTAAAAAGCTTAATTGGATTAATACATGGTAAATTGTCGGGGGATTCCGGGGCCCAATAGGATCCACGGTACATGCGTTACGTAAAAAGGCTTTCTGGGGTCTCTGGATTAATGTAGAAGCCTAAAAAACTACCAATATTATTGTTAGGGTTCCTTATTTTAAAGTATACTCTAAAGGAACCCAAGGCCCTAGTCTAATTCTTCCGGCCCCTACATGACCCTAAGCCGCGAGCCACCCTACGAGAGCTGCCTTGGGCCGCAAGAAAAATTTGGGGTCTGAAGACTTACCCTAAGGGTCCATGTGCTCATTCAAAAGGGCTACTTTAAGGGTTCCTTTAAAGGGATCTATAAGGGTACCATATAAGGGTTTAGGGTTTAGGGGTCCATGTACTCAAATCGTATATACATTGGCCGTACCTATATAGGGACTACTTTAAGGCCAGAGTATATACTGCTTGGGCACATGGGCGCTTAGGGTTACTAAGCACATCCCCGAATAAACGGTTCAGTTCTAAAAGGGTTCTATAAGGCTACTATAAGGGTACTATAAGGGTTCTATAAGGGTATTATAGGGTTTGGGGTTCAGGGTTTAGGGTTGAGTATTAAGACCAGGAAGTAATCATAGCATAATCTACCAACCGTACCTTGTTCCAATTTTTAAGGTCAATGAGTAGTTTGAGGGTCTAGGCCGGGAGGTATTTACCCGATGCGGGCGCAATAACTTTCTCTACAACCTATACCGCTAAACCCAAAACACTAAAGCCCACCCTAAGTTCGAAACCCACAACCCTTAACCCTAAACCCTTCACCCAGATCCCTGAACAGCAGAGGCCACTACGCCCGATGCCTCAAACCTAAACCCTAAACCCTAAACCCTAAGCCTTGAAGCTCACTGAAACCCAGGGACTTCGGAGCTCAGGAAGCACGCGAAGAAATAATGGACGGAGCCCGGCGGGCCTTTA